TGTTTTTAAGTTTCCCCTAAAAATGAATAATGAAGGAAATGGGTGCATCTCACCAGGGAAGGTATCCCACAAATGGAGAAATGCCACCAAGAAGGTCCTGTTATGGGGAAACGCCAGCTGAGCAGCCTTAACTGATGGCAACACCATATTGCAGCCCTAAGCTGTTAAGAGACTAGCGTGACATTAAATAGCCCTAGCATTTTGCCACCAGCTGGAGGTTCCAAACACTTCTGTAGGGTAGCCGCAGGTAGAATGCATTGTGGTAATCTAATCATAGGTCACCCAGGCACATATAGCTGTGCCCAGATGTGCCTTTTCTAGCAAGGGATGGTGCACAGATGCCACAGTCGGAACTGTCTTGAAGAGAAGCCCTTTCCTCCATGGGGAAGACTGAAGAATGACGCCCCCTGGCAACAGTAGTTCTATGTAAATGCTTGTGCATAAAAGATGATGATGATTTACAACACATACAAAAGTGGCTTTAAAGCAGGCATAGGCAAACTCGGCCCTCCGGATGTTTTGGGACTACAACTCCCATCATCCCTAGCTAACAGGACCAGTGGTCAGGGATGATGGGACTTGTAGTCTCAAAACATCTGCCTATGGCTGCTTCAAAGAGAGAGGAGAGAGAAAAACGAAAGCAATAAAACCCCAAAGGATATAGTACATTGCCATAACAATCATTATCAATTGACGATTGCAATTTTCGACCTACTATATTTTGAGTTTCAAATTGCATTATACTTGTCCATGCAAAAGAAGAGAAAAGAAAAGAAAAGATGTTTGATAGAACCATTTTAGTAGGAAAGGTGTTGAGGAGAATAATTTCGCTAATTAGTCAGTGACAATTTCACGGCATTGGATTTCTTCTGCTGCATATTAGGAATCCTGTGCAAGGCTGGTATTTAAACGAACTGAATTTCTTTTCTCTCTCTCTCCCTCCCCTCTAGAGCAGTCTTAGTGGAGAAGGAGAGTGTGAACTCAGTGGTGGTGGTTGATGCCCCTGAAGACTCGTTTCAACAGATGCTGGTTGCTGCCTCTGTGACAGTAAATGCAACAGGTAAACAGTGTACTATTCCTGGGTGAATAGAGCATTGATAAAGAGCTGATCGATCACTTGTGCCTGCACTGTAGTTCTGTTACCACTGGATCTTACATTTGCAAAATTATTGCATTCTTTAAAATGACCAAATAGTATTATCATTACTACTATTGTTTTCTGATAACAGGTTCCACAATGTTGCTCAGGGAGACATCTCTGATGCCTCATATTCCAGGACTTCCAGCACTGCTGGCCATGCTGTTTGCTCCTGTGATAGATCTCAGGTATGTGCACATTTCTAAACAAGAGCATCGCAGTCAACTTAACAAATGCTTGTGCGGCTTCCTTTATAGTTCCCTGACAGAATGTATAACACTCTTTCCAAAGGCTTCATGTTGTGTGACATAAAATGCAGTCCCCCACACTGATAGTAAACATTGATCTTTTTTTCAAATCCAGGGCTATGCTTACTGCCAGGCCTGTGCATATTTAAAGTACCGTATTTTTCACTCTATAAGACGCACCAGACCACCAGACGCACCTAGTTTTTGGAGGAGGAAAACAAGAAAAAAAATATTCTGAATCTCAGAAGCCAGAACAGCAAGAGGGATCGCTGTGCAGTGAAAGTAGCAATCCCTCTTGCTGTTCTGGCTTCTGGGACAGCTGCACAGCCTGCATTTGCTCTGTAAGACGCACACACATTTCCCCTTACCTTTTAGGAGGGAAAAAGTGAGTCTTATAGAGCAAAAAATAAGTTAATTAATTTCAAATGTTGCCGAATTTAAAAGCTTGTAACCTGCCAGATTTGAAGTTCAGAAGGTGATACTGAAAATTTGCTATCCTGAGAATCATATTTCTGTAAAGAAAGATGTGAAAAGAGTCTGTGGGTAGGGTTTGCCCAAATCACAGAAGCTCAGGGGCAAAGGGATCAGGAGGGACAGGATTTCAAGAAATCTGATCACAGTAATCCCTAGAGCATGGCTTACTGTGAATGAGCATGCTGCTGAATCGTTCTTGTCTAGGTCCTCCTTTCCTTGAGTTTCAGGCAATAAACCACAAGTGTGCTTACTGTGAAGGGACGTGGGTGGCACTGTGGGTTAAACCACAGAGCCTAGGGCTTGCCGATCAGACGGTCGGCGGTTCGAATCCCTGCGACGGGGTGAGCTCCCGTTGCTTGGTCCCAGCTCCTGCCAACCTAGCAGTTTGAAAGCACATCAAAGTGCAAGTAGATAGATAGGTACTGCTCCAGCGGGAAGGTAAACGGCGTTTCCGTGCGCTGCTCTGGTGCGCCAGAAGCGGCTTAGTCATGCTGGCCACATGACCCCAAAGCTGTACGCCGGTTCCCTCAGCCAATAAAGCAAGATGAGCGCCGCAACCCCAGAGTTGGTCATGACTGGACCTAATGGTCAGGGGTCCCTTTACGTTTTTATACACTGCTAGGTGCATTGTGTTTTGTATGTGGGTATGTGTGTGCTTATGTGAATTCTTTATTGTATAAATGACTTGGTCATTAAAAAGCTTGTTGCTCTCATTAGGGTTGATGAAAGCAGGAACAGATACATTGGTGTCCTCTGTGGATTGGGATGGAACTACTCGCTGGGAGTCCCCATCCTCTCCGACCACGACATGGAGTTTATGTTTGATGTGAAAATTGATGCAGATGACATAACCCAGGTAAATTCCGCACCAGTTCATCCCATTCATGCTGCCCCCCCCCCAGGTTTCTTGGAAGTGAACCCAACTGCCTTGGCTGGTTTATGTGCGATGAGATTGATCCACATCTTGGGAAATAATCCTGTATTTGGGTAGAGGATTAAGCTAATAAATTCTTTTAACGGATCTGGTTTAAAAGTGTTTCAGTTTGAATCAGAAAAGTAGTTTCATCAAAAGCTCAACTACAGTGGTACTTTGGGTTACAGACGCTTCAGGTTACAGACTCCGCTAACCCAGAAATAGTACTTCGGGTTAAGAACTTTGCTTCAGGATGAGAACAGAAATCGTGCTCCGGCAGCGGGAGGCCCCATTGGCTAAAGTGGTGCTTCAGGTTATGAACAGTTTCAGGTTATGTACGGACCTCCGGAACGAATTAAGTACTTAACCCGAGGTACCACTGTATTCAACCAGTCGCCATCTCTGCTGCTTTCAAAAAACGACCGTCTTTTATTCACAGATAAACATTATAAGGATCGCCATTAACAAGCTCGTCTCGGATGGTCCAAACGGCCTGATGCATTTTGGTCAGGAGAGAATTGCCCAGTTGCAGGATGCCACTCGCCAGAAGCTTTTAGGGTAAATTACCTCCTTTTTTTCTTGCCATAAGAAGTTGCATTCATTTTTATAGCACACAGCAAGAGAGAGAGTGCATTGCAAATCTGAAGAAGCACTAGCTCAGCTTTCCCTAGCCTGGTGCCTTCCAGATGTTTAGAACTCCCACCAGCCCCACCCAGCATGGCCATGGATCAGGGATGATGGGAGCTGTGGTTTCAAACATCTGGTGGGCACCAGGTTAGAGAAGGCCAGGCACAAATGTAACAGTCCTGGAGAAGCCAAAGAACCTAAATGTATCATTATGTATTCGGGACACTCGTGCATCTGCAGTTTTAAGTTAATTGTATTTACCATATGTCATCACTACTTAACGGGAAACTCTGCGTTTGAAAAACATGTCTAGACAGAATGAATTAAAACGTATCATTGCCGTACTTTGCACAGCTCAGGGAGACAGGAGATGGCAGGCGGGGAGTCTGTAGTAATCGAGTTGTCACACACGACAAAACATTCCCAAAATAGCTAGGATTAGATCTGCATAGACAAATTCAGGCACATGCACGTGTATGCACTCGGCTGATGCAAACATTGGCACTGGGAGATCAACTTAAATTATGATGTTTTAAATGCTTGCCTTGTCAAAATACTCTTAATAAATTAGCTCAGCCAGGGCTCGAATTAGAAAGGGGCAGGAGGAGCTGCTGGCCTTCTTAGCTTGTCCTCCTAATGAAGGTTAGGAGGGGGGCAGGATTTGGCTACAATTGGGGAATGTTGGAAGTGGGCTTTCTGGCTTTCATTAAGGATCCCTTTAACGCCTCCCCTTCCAATAATTAGGGCACCAGATTCTGTGTGATGCTGAATTTTTTTCCTGAGCGGCTTCCCAACAAAGTAAGGTTGGCAACTGGTGGGCCTTGGAATCTCCATCCAACCCTCCGTGTAGCCTCTGCCTGCCCCCCTGCTGGGGACCTCAGCTACTATCCCTCCCCTTGCAAGGCAAAAACACCATTAGAGGCCTGTTGAGCTTCAGTCACACCATACATATAAAGCGGTCTTACACCACTTTAGTAGTTTTGACTTTCCCCACACAGAATCTTGGGAACAGTAGTTTTGTACTGTAGAACTACAGTTCCCAGGATTCTGTTGGTGTACTGCGCTGGGCTTTGTAACCAACTTGGGAAAACGCCAGGCAGCTGCGTTCTTCCCCCTCAAGCACCTCTCGGGATGATCCATCACTCCTCTGTCCCAATGCGCTTCTGCGACAAATATCCGAAGATATGTGCACACAATACGGTAGCAGAGTCCAAGCAGAAACTAGGCATAGAGGGTGTGGAATCTAAGCTGATTTATTATGTACACGATCGGGTGTTACAAAACAAAGGAAACATGTCTCCTCTCCACTTCTTCTCCGAGAGAGAACAGCAAATGCAAAAATACAACAGTAACGGAACAGTGTAACTGAACTTCCGTTCCCATGATTCCAGTAGTATGGAATGTCAACACAGACATGTGATGAAAACAATCACACCTCAGTGGAGAGAATGAAATCCCAACAGATTCTCCATGACTGTTCAAGTGGTATAAGACTGCTTTAAATGTCTGTCCTACTAATACAATTTTTCTTTACTCACAATGAGTTTCTATCTCTCCGCTCTCTCAGCCTGATTTGTAAATCGAAACCTCGTGAAGTTGTTCCTCCCAAATTCTATCCGAAGCCATATGAATGGAGTCAGGTAAGATTTGCTCCCCAAATTTAGACCTCAATAACACCAATCCCAAGCCTTCTAGCCTCAGGTATGGTGACTCTCCCCAGTCTCTAGCAGATCACATACTACCTGACTGTTTTACTGAAGATGCCAGGGTTTGAATCTGGGGTGTTCTGGTTGGGGATACTTGACGAATTTGTTTCAGTGAATTTCAGTATGACCTGCCCTGATCCACAGCACCTAGACTACAGAGTGGATTGGAGCACATTTATCCTTTGCATTCCACTCTTCTCTAAATTTTGAGACATAGTGACCAGCTTAAAAATGCCCCCCAAAATGAAGCTAAACACTTCCTGAAAAAAATATGTAAACCGAACTGCAGCCATCATTCAAAATTCACACACTTTCCCAGATTTTGCGATGCAGTTCTCTAGTCAAGAAATGCTTGTCTTCAAACATGAACATCAAGTGCTAGAGATAATTTTAACATTCTATACCACATCTACCTACCTACCCATCCATCCACCCACCCACCCACCCTTCTCTGTGAGTTATAAGCTCTGCCCAGGAGAAAATGTTACTGGAACAGACACCACTTCAATCTCACCAGAAAACCTTCCCTTCCATTCAGAGCATTAAACCTTCACTTTAAAAGAACAAACAATAAAATGTTCATTACTTGCATGTAGTAAGTTATGTTGTTTGGACATTGTTCCCATGTTTTTCTTTCTCATTTAGCCACAGTCAAACATTGTCATTGACCAGTCTGAACCACAAGATGCACGAGCGAGGACTGATTCCTTGTACCAGCTGCATAAGTTGATTTTGTTAAATGCCTAAGGCTTCAGCGCTCATCGTCCTTCGCTGGAAGAAAGTCCCATTAGACCTGGTGCAATCTGCTTCCAAATAAGTGTGTTTAGGATCAGAATGTTGTTGTTGTTTTAAAAAAACACCCTATTGTTCTGTTATAGAAAAATATAAAAGATGTGTTTAAAAATGTGATGTTACCAGTTTAACTGTTTGCCTTGTTTTCCTAACAAACGAGAAGCCCCCAGAAAATGACACAGTATTTGAAATTGGAAGAACTTTAGTGCTGCTCACTTACTAACCACATGAGGCACTAAGAGCTGCTTATCCCTAACATTAGACTACCTGGCTTCACCCCTCCAACCTATATGCATTCAGTAAAGTTCTGAATACCAGGGTTGGTGAGGGGACTGTACACGCTTAGGCTTTTTCATACACCCGAGAGCCCTGATCACACTTGGCTCCTGGCATTGGCAGAGGGGAGGGTTTGGTGTTTGGAACGGCTTCCCAGGCAGAATGAAACTGCTGTGCCATCTTCCTGGCAGGTGGATCAATGTTGCTTACTGTGAGAGGGGCAAGATGACAAGGGGTCTGGTGCAGTGCAGACGCACAGGCAGAGCCAATCTGGTGCTCCTGCTTGCATGTTTGCACCGTGCCAACCTCCCTTGCCACTTTCCCTCCCAGTAAGCAGCAGTGACCCATCTGTCACCGGGGAGCTAATGTAATGACTCTGCCCCACAAAGCAAGCTGTTTCTGCCTGATGTACAGAAGTTGACGGGATGGAGCCAAGCAGCTGTAGGACGAGTGGGAGCAGAGTGGGATGTTGCCGTGGTGGGCAGTGCCAGGAAGAGAAGTCCTTCGCCACCTCCATTTAACCCTGCCCATGATGTTTCTCTTCCTGAGTTCAAAGCAGGGCTGGGGAACCTTTGGCCTTCCAGATGTTGTTGATCTACAGCTCCCATCACCCATGACAATTGGTCTTACCGGTTCTGGAGGAACAAAAGTTCCCTATCCGGGCTTTAAAGATGCATACAAGTTGCTATGGCTAAGATTCTTGGAATTGATAGTTTTGACAGCAGGGCTTAGCTGCGACAGATTCTTTAAAGTGCATATAATTAAGCCGCTTCAGTTTAGCTCGTAGTTAGCATTCACAGCAGCCAAATAGGAAGATAACGTTTTGGTTTTGCCTTTGGATTAAAGCGCATTTCAAGTGTTCCATTTAACATTTGCTTTCTGTTATTAGCTATATCTGCAATTGCTAGTTTGCTTTGAAAAAATAAAGCCAATGAGTTTTAATACACTGTGATTTTTGTGTCTTTTAAAATACATATTGGGCAAAAGGAACAGTGTAGATTAAATCAAATCTGTTGTTCCTTTTTACATTCACGCAGCATGATGGAAATTGCCATTTGTTTCTTCCTAGCTTGAAGTGGGGGGGGGGGGGAGGGACAGACATGCCTTTATAGAAGTTAGCAGTGGAAATACAACTAAAACAAATAGCAACACTAAAGCAAGAAACACAAAGGGTAATTTTATAGAATCGGACCACAGAACGTGGTTTGGCAGCCAAAGGAAAAATACTGCAATCAATCTTAGGGGGGATTATTCTCAGTTCTCTCCCACCAGTGCAAGAAAGACCACTTATCTTTTAAGGTGGGTGAAGGCTGTAGCCACAGAGGGTGACAGGATAAGCTGCCTAAATTTTAAATCTAAATTGGCCAATGAAGGCCTACGTGTTGGGCAGGCCTTTGGCAGACTGGAGGAACAACATCAGCTTGGCATCATTGGCATCCAAATGCCAGCCTGTAACTCTCACCCCCACCCCAAAATCTGGATTTACTTTTTCTGAGGCAAATCCAAGACGTAACAAGAAAAAACCCCAACCCTGTTGCCAGCTACTTGTTTTTGCAATCTTTCACTGACCCATTTGTCATTTAATCCCGATGTTCCAGAAATTGTACTCCAGAGCAAGATATCCTCCTTGCCTCGCACAAGAAAAGAGGCCTGGATTATGTTGATGTGGTGCCCTTGACTCAATGCATTGCATATAAAGTCTGGAAAAAGTCTTAAAGTAGAAGGACACCTCTAGATCCAAGATACTGTTCGATCTATTAAAACATGTGAAATATTCTCAGAGCAGAGTGTGGATTTCATGCTCTTTATTCAGCTCATAGTGATGAGGAGGAATGGTCCCCTCACAGTATCTGCTTTATATACATTATTTACACAATGGGCTGCACGTGATTGGCTAATTCCGGAATTCTCCTGTAGGCCAATCAGGTTGTGGATTCACTTCCATCTGGAGCCGGACTGGGTGGCTCCTGCAGACCAATCATACTGCTGCATTGTTCTAGGACCAATCAGACTGCTGCATTTTGGATCCTATTGTTCTAGGACTAATCAGACTGCTGCATTCTGAATCCTATTGTTCTAGGACTAATCAGACTGCTGCATTCTGAATCCTATTGTTCTAGGACCAATCAGACTGCTGCATTTTGGATCCTATTCAACTCAGTACATAACAACATGAATATCCTGTCAGTTTTCTGTGTGCTGAAGACCAACTGCCTGATGTAATAGAACCTTGTTTCCAAAAGAAACGAGCGGTACACTGTTACTTCTGGGAAAGAACTGGGAACACCAGTTAATCCTGCAAGTCCCACGTGTGTGGTACTACCAAGGAAAAATGGCTGACTGCCTGAATTCAAAAAAGCGCAAGCAGGGCTTGACTCACTCTTACGCCAAAACAGCCCCCAGCAGAGTTTAAAACACAGGTCTGTGCAGCGTTTGCAAAGCCTCTACCCCTCTTAGAGTGAATAGACCACAAACTTTGGTATGTTTAAGTGCTTTACTTACAGTAATAACAGATTTCACTCACGCATTGTTCAATGCAACAGCAGAAATCATAAGGGCAAGGTCTTTTTGGTTGCAAAATGCAGGTGTTAGTCTCCAACATGCGGTCTGAGTCTGGAGCTCCAGCCTCTGACGTGTCAGCTACATGGTTGGAACAAAAGGGGAGGGGGGGAGGAACAAGAAACAGACAATACTTCCTTGCAGAAGGTGAGGGGGCGTGACCTAGCCATGCCTTGTCTAACGATTTACAAGTCCTGGGTTAAAGTGTTTATTTCTACTGAACTCGCCAAGTCTCTCAGGGCTATCCGGCACCCCTTCTTCCCAATTTGGACACAAGGAGGGCACAGATGGGGTTGAGAGGGAACATGCAAACCCCAAACTAGGGAGAAAGGCGAAGGAAGCCTGCCCAGGATCTGGATACTGCTCTTGTATATCCCTATTGGGAATGTCTTCCAGCAGCATTTTGCAGATATGGAAGTTTGTCTTTCTTTGATTTTTTTTAATGGTCCTTTGGAACATTCTGCTCACCTCTCCTTTCTCTGTTGACAATATCTGGGTGCGTGGTAATGAATTCTGCTGCCACCTCACATACTGTTAGAGCTTCCTTTCCCTGTCTTAGGCAGATGTTCCTTAACTGGAGGCTTCCGCCTTTTCTTGCAGGGGAAGTTATCTTGTCTTCTTTGTTCGCTCCCTGTTTTTCCTTCATGGTTTCTGTAGAGTTGTAACAGTTAGGTTCCAGTCCCTGATGCAGTTCCAGTTGGATGATATTTTAGTAGTTGAGGAGTTATCTGCCTTGCCAGTCAGTCTGGAGAGAGGGATGACTCCTCTCCCTGGAGGGGAAGCAGAGGGTTCAGAAGACCTTGCCTGTATGGGGGAAAATGAAATATATGTGTTTGTGTGTGAACAACAAATAGAAATGGTTGAGTGTCTGGATTCAAATGCGGGGGCTAACACACAAGAGAGCCCCAGTAGCCCCAGTTAAAATCACAAAATAAGCAGCCCATTAAAGTTTTAGGAATACAGGTTGTTAAACCTTTTCTCATCCAGCTGCATACAGCAGCTGACCTCTTTCTACCCCTCTTGCGATGAGCAGACCACACACAATTAAGTAAGTTTAAAATGTTTTACTTACAGATTCAAGGTCTCAGTCATGCATTGTTCCATGCTGCAGCAATGATAATACAGGCAACATACTGTTGAGTAGAAAATGCAGAATATAGTTCTAAACACATGCTGTAAGCTCAGGAGCAAGCTTACACACACCCTCCTTTAATGGTTACATGATGCACAGGGGGCGGGGGGCGAATAGAAAGGCTTGGACGTAACCCGAGTCTTTCTACAACTCTGTGGTCCTTAACCCCTTCGTGCAATAGCTAGCAGTTGTGCATAGTTAGGTTTGACCGCAATCTCTCGCAGCCTGATCCTCCCAGCAGCATCACCAAACACAAATTCATGGGAAATACAATTTTCTGTTCTGCTGGGAATCTGCTGCCACCCAGTGGACAGTATGGATTTACTTTGTATTTGAAATTTATTTGCAGGTTTGCAGCTCTTTCCAAAACATGGAATATATATTCAGTTCATCAACTGCCAACAGGCAGAATGCAAGAGTTAGGCCTCATCTGCACTTTGCTTTGAAAGCAATATCATATCACTCTAAACAGTCATGGCTCCCACCTAAGAATCCTAGGAACTGAAGTTAGTTAAGGGTACTGAGAGTCACAGAGCTAACAGTCTCAAGAGCAGTTTGACAGTCAGTCTCACCAGGGCACTCTAGTAATTGTAGCACTTTGAGGGGAAGAGGTGGATAAAATGGGCACATAGAATGAGTTGCTGCACATGAGTTAAAAGAAAGTTTAAATAAAAACTATCAGTTTGATTGGATCATCAAGTATAGTTCCAGATTTGCCAGGCAAATATTTCATAAAAAGAATGCCAAATCATATTAAAGGTGTCTGGAGGTTCCAATCCTTGTTGAAATCTAAAATCATGAACAATTTCCTCCATTATAGCTATATTCCAGAGTGAGGGGTAGCAAGCATCCAGTGTAAGATTTTGGGTTATTTTCCATTGAGTTGCAATTATTATTCCTGCTGCCAAGACCATATATAAATAAGACCAATTCTTTTGACAATATATTTACATCGGTATCCTCAAAAAATTCCAGTAACTAATTCTGGACAACAAACAACCGTTTCTTTAGTAATATTTACCATTTCTGTCAAAGTTGAATCCCAAAAATCCTGCACCAACTGACATTCCCAACCATAAATGATAATATGTACCAAGTTTATTGCAACTCCAACAATGTTTTCTGTGGAAAGAAAACATAATTTTGACATTTGCAAAGGAGTGCAATACCACCTGTGTAGTAATTGTACAGTGTAGTATTCATTGAGGGACGCGGGTGGCGCTGTGGGTAAAAGCCTCAGCGCCTAGGGCTTGCCGATTGAAAGGTTGGCGGTTCGAATCCCCGCGGCGGGGTGCGCTCCCGTTGTTCGGTCCCAGCGCCTGCCAACCTAGCAGTTCGAAAGCACCCCCGGGTGCAAGTAGATAAATAGGGACTGCTTACTAGCGGGAAGGTAAACGGCATTTCTGTGTGCGGCTCTGGCTCGCCAGAGCAGCGATGTCACGTTGGCCACGTGACCCGGAAGTGTCTCCGGACAGCGCTGGCCCCCGGCCTCTTGAGTGAGATGGGCGCACAACCCTAGAGTCTGTCAAGACTGGCCCGTACGGGCAGGGGTACCTTTACCTTTACCTTTTACTATTCATTGATGTTTATATTGTATGTTCTTGAATTGTGGTTTAGGATTTTTTCTACTGCACAAGTCTCTTTGAGGCCTTAAAAACAAATAAAAGGAACTAATTTGTCATAACTGGAAAACTACACTTGGAGACGGGATAACTGAATGGTAAATAGGGGGAAATGGATTAATGTAGTCAGAGCTAGAGAGGTGTAAAACAGCTTTATAACCACTTTGTTCCAAAATTGAGTGTTTTCGTATTGCATTACAAAAAAAATTCCTTCCAGTAGCACCTTAAAGACCAACTAAGTTAGTTCTTGGTATGAGCTTTCGTGTGCATGCACACTTCTTCAGATACCAGATACTTCAGATTCGTATTGCATTAGTATAGCAAGGTACAAAAATCTGCCTATACCTATACACTGCTAGGTGCATTGTGTTTTGTATGTGGGTATGTGTGTCGCGCTGTGGGTTAAACCACAGAGCCTAGGACTTGCCGATCAGAAGGTCGGCGGTTCGAATCCCCGCGACGGGGTGAGCTCCCATTGCTCGGTCCCTGCTCCTGCCAACCTAGCAGTTCGAAAGCACATCAAAGTGCAAGTAGATAAATAGGTACCGCTTCGGCGGGAAGGTAAACGGTGTTTCCGTGTGCTGCTCTGGTTCGCCAGAAGCAGCTTAGTCATGCTGGCCACATGACCC